TATATATATTTTATATATATATATATATATATATATAATATATTATATATTATTATATATATATAAAATATATATATATATATTTTTTTTTTTCAACAAGTGGGGCCGTCTCCCACCGAGGCAGGGTTTGACCCAAAAAAAAAAGAAAAAAAAACCCCCAAAAAAGAAAATTATTTTTCATCATCATTCAACACTTTCACCACACTCACACTTATCACTGCTTTTGCAGAGGTGCTCAGAATAAAAACAGTTTAAAAGCATATACGTATAGAGATACAAACATATCCCTCCAAATGCCAATATCCCAAACCCCTCCTTTAAAGTGCAGGCATTGTACTTCCCATTTCCAGGACTCAAGTCCGACTATATGAAAATAACCGGTTTCCCCTGATCCCTTCACTAAATATTACCCTGCTCACACTCCCAAAAGATCGTCAGGTCCCATGTATCATTCGTCTCCATTCACTCCTATCTAACACGCTCATGCATGCTTGCTGGAAGTCCAAGCCCCTAACCCACAAAACCTCCTTTACCCCTCTTTCCAACCCTTTCGAGGAACGACCCCTACCCCTCTTTCCTTCCCCTATAGATTTATATGCTATCCATGTCATTCTACTTTTATCCATTCTCTCTAAATGACCAAAACCCCCTCAACAACCCCCCTTCTGCCCTTGACTAATGCTTTTATTAACTCCACACCTTCTCCTAATTTCCACACTCCCAATTTTCTGCATAATATTTACACCACACATTGCCCTTAGACAGGACATCTCCACTGCCTCCAAAACCGTTCTCCTCGCTGCTGCATTTACCACCCAAGCTTCACATCCATATAAGAGTGTTGGTACTACTATACTTTCATACATTCCCTTCTTTGCCTCCATAGATAACGTTTTTTGACTCACATATACCTCAACGCACCACTCACTTTTTTCCCTCATCAATTCTATGATTAACCTCATCCTTCATAAATCCATCCGCCGACACGTCAACTCCCAAGTATCTGAAAACATTCACTTCTTCCATACTACTCCTCCCAATTTGATATCCAATTTTTCTTTATCTAAATCATTTGATACCCTCATCACCTTACTCTTTTTCTATGTTGACTTTCAACTTTCTACCTTTACACACATTCTCAAACTCATCCACTAACCTTTGTAATTTTTCTTTAGAATCTCCCATATATTATATATATATATATATATATATATATATATATATATATATATATATATATATATATATTATATATATATATATATATATATATATATATATATATATATATAAATGATTGTAGTAGGAATGATAAAAAAAAGAGATGATTGTGGATGTTATGAATGAAAAGAAGCTGGGTGTCCTGGCTCTAAGTGAAACAAAGCTGCAGGGGGTAGGAGAGTTTCAGTGGGGAGAAATAAATGGGATTAGGTCAGTGTTTCTAATAGTTAGAGGTAAGGAAAGAGTAGCAATAATGTTGAAGGATAAGTTAAGGAAGGAAAAGAAGGAATATAAATGTATAAATTCAAGGATTATATGGAGTAAAATAAGGGTTGAATGTGTGAAGTGGGTTATAGTAAGTGTTTATGCACCTGAAGAAAGAGAGAAATAGAGTGATGTGAGAGAGAGAGAGATGAGAGAGAGAGAGTGAGAGAGAGAGAGAGAGAGAGAGAGAGAGAGAGAGAGAGAGAGAGGAGATAGATAGATAGATAGATAGATAGATAGATAGATAGATAGATAGATAGATAGATAGATAGATAGATAGATAGATAGATATTGAGATTTTGTGAAATGTTAAGTGTGTGTTAAGTTTTGAACCAAGTGAGAGAGTACGTACTTGTGATTGCGGATCTCAATGCTAAAGTGGGTTAAAACGTTGTAGAGGGAGTAGTAGGTAATCTGGGGTGCCAGGGGTAAATGAAAATGGGGAGCCTTTAATTGAGCTATGTGTAGAAAGAGGTTTGGTAATAAGTAATACATATTTTATGAAAAAAAGGATAAGTATACAAGATATGATATAGCACGTAATGAAAGTAGTTTGTTAGATTATGTATTGCTGGATAAAAGGTTGATGGGTAGGCCTCAGGATGTACATGTTTATAAAGGGGCAAAGGATATATCGGATCATTATCAAGTTGTTGCTACAATTAGAGAAAGAGGTAGATGGGACAAAAGAAAAAGGGCAACAGTAAGTAAGAGAGAGGTGAAAGTTTATAAACTAAGGGAGGAGGAAGTTAGGGTGAGATATAAGCAACTATTGACAGAAAGGTGGGCTAGTGTCAGGTAGTGTGGGAGGGGGGGAGGGGTTTGAAGAGGGATTAGATTGATTAAAAATGCAGTATTAGAATGTGGGGAAGAAGTTTGTGGCTATAGAAGGGTGGATACAGGAGGAAAGAGGAGTGACTGGTGGAATGATGAGGTAAAGGGTGCGATAAAAGAGAAAAAGGTAGCTCGTGAGAGGTTTTTACAAAGCAGAAGTGATATAAGAAGGGTAGAGTATATGGAGAGTAAAAGAAAGGTGAAGAGAGTGGTGAGAGAGTGCAAAAGGATAGCAAATGATAGAGTGGGAGAGGCACTGTCAAAAAATTTTGCTGAGAATACGAAAAAAATTTGTAGTGAAAGAAACAAGTTGAGAAAGCCTAGGGAACGAATGGATTTTTGACAGTTAAAGAAAGGAGTAGGGGAGTTAGTAGACGGGGAACTGGAGGTATTGGGTAGATGGCAGGAATATTTTGAGGACTTGATTCCTGGAGATGGGAAGTACAGTGCCGGCACTCTGAAGGAGGGGTGTTAATGTTGCAGTTTAAAAACTGTATATAATTATATATATATATATATATATATATATATATAATATATATATATATATATATATATATATATATATATTACATTATATTATATTATATTATATCATATTATATTTCAACAAACCAGCCATATCCCACCAATGCAGAGTGACCTAAAAAGAAAAACAAGTTTCTTTTTAAACTTTAGTAATTTTTTTTTAACACACTGGCTGATTCCCACTAAGGCAGGGTGGCCCGAGAAAGAAAAACTTTCATCATCATTCACTCCATCACTGTCTTGCCAGAGGGGTGCTTTACACTACAGTTATAAAACTGCAACATTAACACCCCTCCTTCAGAGTGCAGACACTGTACTTTCCATCTCCAGGACTCAAGTCCGGCCTTCCGGTTTCCCTGAATCCCTTCATAAATGGACAAAGTTCTTTGTCTCCAGACTCCTAAGTGCAACACTCACCCTTTTCCCCTCATCAATTCTATGATTCACCTCATCCTTCATAGACCTATCTGCTGACACATCCACTCCCAAATTTTTTTTTTTTTCAACAACTTGGCCGTCTCCCACCGAGGCAGGGTGACCCAAAAAAAGAAAGAAAATCCCCAAAAAGAAAATACTTTCATCATCATTCAACACTTTCACCACACTCACACATTATCACTGTTTTTGCAGAGGTGCTCAGAATACAACAGTTTAGAAGCATATACGTATAAAGATACACAACATATCCCTCCAAACTGCCAATATCCCAAACCCCTCCTTTAAAGTGCAGGCATTGTACTTCCCATTTCCAGGACTCAAGTCCAACTATATGAAAATAACCGGTTTCCCTGAATCCCTTCACTAAATATTACCCTGCTCACACTCCAACAGATCGTCAGGTCCCAAGTACCATTCGTCTCCATTCACTCCTATCTAACACGCTCACGCATGCTTGCTGGAAGTCCAAGCCCCTCGCCCACAAAACCTCCTTTACCCCCTCTCTCCAACCCTTTCGAGGACGACCCCTACCCTGCCTTCCTTCCCCTATAGATTTATATGCTTTCCATGTCATTCTACTTTGATCCATTCTCTCTAAATGACCAAACCACCTCAACAACCCCTCTTCTGCCCTCTGACTAATACTTTTATTAACTCCACACCTCCTAATTTCCACACTCTGAATTTTCTGCATAATATTTACACCACACTGAATATATTCACCTCCTCCATACTTTCTCATTCAATCCGATGTCCTATCTTTCGTCACCTAATCTTTTTATACTCATCACCTTACTCTTTCCTATATTCACTTTTAATTTTCTTCTTTTACATACCCTACCAAATTCATCCACCAACCTCTGCAACTTCTCTTCAGAATCTCCCAAAAGCACAGTGTCATCAGCAGAGAGCAACTGTGACAACTCCCACTTTGTATTTGATTCTTTATCTTTTAACTCCACACCTCTTGTCAAGACCCTCGCATTCACTTCTCTTACAACCCCATCTATACAGGAGAAAACACACACAGTATAGCATATAGAAAAGTGTTCTACATGCCTGTTGTTTTAAACAGATGGTATCAATCATTATCCCAGATTCCAATTAGTAATAGATACCCAACAAAGAGTTTGAGAGATCTGTAAATTTATTATAATACATAATCAAAACTAAGTACTAAACCCACCTGAGTAGAGATCTGTAAAATAATTTACCTCTTAGTCACCAACTCCAGTGGTCTTGGGGTAGGCAGAATGCCTGTGGTGTCTGCAGAACCCCATGTCCTTTCCATTTTGAGCAACATGTTTTTCTTGGTGAATTTTTAATCATAACAGGGAAGGACCTTGTAGCACCTGGTGAATGCAAGGTTATCAGGTTTAATCCAATAAAGAGTAGTGCTCCAATTCATTGAAGCACGAGCCTTTCACCAACATTAGGGCAATCCTCTTTGAATGGTTCCCCAATAAGTAATACTACCATTTATCACCTCATCCATTTACACTGCAAAATGTCTACTGTCATAAAGTAAAGTACTTTTCACAGGTATCAGAGGCACAAAATACTGTACTGCTTTCATTCAATATCATCTACTTGCATTTATCTTTAATCAAATACCAGTATAGGTAGTATCTGAAACACAGCAGATGACTTGTATAAACATAAGAATGTCTCTCCCATTCATATTCTTAATTGTTTGTCAATGAAACAACTACAGGTAAATATTTATTGGTATGTTTAATTTTCAATAGGCATGCCTTAAAATATTTTTTGCACAAAGGCAACATACTATTATTTAACAAAATATTCACAAGTGACTTTCATTTTTCCTTTTTGGGCCACCCTGCCTTGGTGGGATACAGCCGGTCTGTTGAAAGAGATTCACAAAGGCTGTTCCTAAACTTTTCTTATCTACTTTGAGTCAGCTTTGGCTGCATCATCTTCATCAGACATAAGCCCCAACTGCTTGCATGTCCACGCAAAGAAATCTGGTGGAGGTGCCGAAAGAATTAAGTCAGATTTGTCTTTATTGAAATGAGCAAGTTGAACTTCAGCCAGGTGCAGATGACATGGGATTATTTCTACTGCCTGAGAAGGTAGTTCCAATTTTGAGAATAGCTTTTCTGGTATGACCTGAAAATATTTTAACAAATGAATAAACAATACAATACAAAGCAATTATTAAAAACATGTCCTTTATCATCTACATATTTTTAATTGTTAAAGACAGTAAAGCAACGTTTGAAATGTATGTTCATAGTAACTAACCTGTGGTTCATAAGCAGTAAGATTATGAGGGCTTATTTGCAGTTTTTTTCCTACAACCATCTTTACTCTTTGTGAATACAGAGCATCCCCAAGGACTGGGCTGTAACTATGCGCAAGCCAAACTCGAAGAAAATGCCACTTAAGAGATTGAGTTTTAACCTGTTGAGGGTATAAAAATAAATCAGTAAGGCTTGCCTCATTTCTTAGCCCTAAACACAAAAATTATAAATTTCTTACATGTCTGAGAACATTCTTAAATGATTTCCAATTCTTCTGGTAAGCCAGTGGAAAGCCTTGGCCTGATGACCAAAAGTTTCAGTGTAAATAATAATAATAATAATAAATAATAGTATAATAAATAATAATAGTAAAATAAATAATAATAATAATACTAAAATAACCTAGGTAGTAGGTTGGTAGACAGCAACCCCCCAGGGAGGTACTACCGTCCTGCCAAGTGAGTGTAAAACAAAAGCCTGTAATTGTTTTACATGATGGTAGGATTGCTGGTGTCTTTTTTTTCTGTCTCATACACATGCAAGATTTCAGGTACGTCTTGCTACTTCTTCTTACACTTATATCACACTACACATACATGTACAAGCACATATATACACACCCCTCTGGGTTTTCTTCTATTTTCTTTCTAGTTCTTATTCTTGTTTATTTCCTCTTAGCTCCATGGGGAAGTGGAACAGAATTCTTCCTTTGACAGCCATGCGTGTTGTAACAGGCGACTAATACACTACCTAAATACACTACCTAACAGAATACTCCTTTCGACTGAATGTACAGCAATGCAAGCAACCATATGACCTGTCTTTGTAATACTCATTTGTGCTTTATAGTTATCTGTTTACAATAATGTTTTATCACTGATTTCATCATTGCTTAGTTAATCTTAAGTTAATTTTAAGCCAGCCCGTAATGCTATGCATATAAGTGGCTTTGGCATGCTGCTCTTACCTGTATTTTTTGTAACTCTGTTTGTATGCTTAAATTACTAATTAAATAAATAAATAAATAAAATGCCGGGAGCAAGGGGCTAGTAACCTCTTCTCCTGTATATATTACTAAATGTAAAAGGAGAAACTTTCATTTTTCCTTTTGGGCCACCCCGCCTCGGTGGGATACGGCCGGTGTGTTGAAAGAAATAATACTAAAATAACCTAGGTAGTAGGTTGGTAGACAGCAACCCCCCAGGGAGGTACTACCGTCCTGCCAAGTGAGTGTAAAACGAAAGCCTGTAATTGTTTTACATGATGGTAGGATTGCTGGTGTCTTTTTTTCTGTCTCATACACATGCAAGATTTCAGGTACGTCTTGCTACTTCTTCTTACACTTAGGTCACACTACACATACATGTACAGTGGACCCTCGCATACCGTTGGCATCACATAACGTTAAATCCGCATACCGATACATTTTATCACTAAAATTTTGCCTCGCATACCGCTAAAAAACTCGCTCAACGCTATTCGTCCGAGACGCTTCTAATGTGCGGCCTGAGCCAGCTTCACATGTTCCGCCGGTGGCATTGTTTACAAGCCAGCCTCCGCGGTAACATCCAAGCATACAATCGAAACATTTCGTATTATTACAGCGTTTTTGGTGATTTCATCTGCAAAATAAGTGACCATGGGCCCCAAGAAAGCCTCTAGTGCTAACCCAGTGGTAAAAAGGGTGAGAAATACTATCATACCACAGTCAGCTGCTGCTGCACCACGGTCAGCTGTTGCTTGACCAGTCAGCTGTTGCTGGATCACTCAGCTGCTGTTGCACCTCGATCAGCTGTTGCTGGACCAGTCAGCTGTTGCTGGATCAGTCAGCTGCTTCTGCACCACGATCAGCTGTTGTTGGACCAGTCAGCTGTTGCTGAATCAGTCAGCTGCTGCTGCACCACAATCAGCTGTTGCTGAACCAGTCAGCTGTTGCTGGATCAGTCAGCTGCTGCTGCACCACGATCAGCTGTTGCTGGACCAGTCAGCTGTTGCTGGACCATCAGCTGTTGCTGATCAGTTAGCTGCTGCTGCACCACAATCAGCTGTTGCTGGATCAGTCAGCTGTTGCTGGACCAGTCAGCTGTTGCTGGACCAGTCAGCTGTTGCTGGATCAGTCAACTGTTGCTTGCTGGACCAGTCAGCTGTTGCTGGATCAGTCAGCTGTTGCTGGATCAGTCAGCTGTTGCTGGATCAGTCAGCTGTTGCTGGATCAGTCAGCTGTTGCTGGATCAGTCAGCTGTTGCTGGACCAGTCAGCTGTTGCTGGACCAGTCAGTTGTTGCTGGATCAGTCAGCTGTTGCTGGATCAGTCAGTGTTGCTGGATCAGTCAGCTGTTGCTGGACCAGTCAGCTGTTGCTGGACCAGTCAGCTGTTGCTGGACCAGTCAGCTGTTGCTGGATCAGTCAGCTGTTGCTGGATCAGTCAGCTGTTGCTGGACCAGTCAGCTGTTGCTGGATCAGTCAGCTGCTGCTGCACCACGGTCAGCTGCTGTTGCTCCATCAGCTGTTTCTGAACATGACTCGTCCCGAATCTGTCCCGAACCTGTCCGTCCACCCTGAGCGCCTGCCTTGCCATCATTGTTTACAAGCCAGGGTGGCCGGTTGCATGCATACATTCGATACATTTTGTATTATTCCATTATTTATAGTGCTTGTAACTGCTAAATAAGCCACCATGGGCCCAAAGAAAGCTTCTAGTGCCAACCCTGTGGTAAAAAGGGTGATAAATACTATCGTACCACAGTCAGCTGCTGCTGCACCACGGTCAGCTGATAAATTGGACCAGTCAGCTGTTGCTGCACCACAGCTGTTGTTGTTGCTGCACCACCATCAGCTGTATTACTCGAAGATGTGGAGAGAGTGTTGTTGGTGTGGCTTAACGTGAAACAATTACCGAGAAACGATTAACCCCGGAGGGTTAGCCACCCAGGATAATCCAAGAAAGTCAGTGCATCATCGAGGACTCTCTAACTCATTTCCATTGTGGTCCTTAATCTTGTCTCCCAGGATGCAACCCACACCAGTCGACTAACACCCAGGTGAACAGGGAAAAACGCCTGGAACTAGTGCTCATATTGGTGAATTTAAAGCCAGCAAAGGTTGGTTTGAGAGATTTAAGAATCGTAGTGGCATACACAGTGTGATAAGGCCTGTTCTGGAAAAAATTGCCAAACAGGACCTACAGTACTCAGGAGGAAAAGGCACTCCCAGGACACAGTGTCTCATCAGTCATTGCTGCATCTTCAATAAAGGTAAGTGTCATTTATTCTTCATTTAGTAGAGTAGTACATGCACAATATATACTGTGCATGTACTACTCTACTATTGTGCATGTATCCTTCTCTTTGTGTGTAGGAAAATGTATATTTCATGTGGTAAAATTTTTTTTTTTCATACTTTTGGGTGTCTTGCACAGATTAATTTGATTTCCATTATTTCTTATGGGGAAAATTCATTCGCATAACGATAATTTCGCATAACAATGAGCTCTCATGAACGGATTAATATCGTTATGCGGTGGTCCACTGTACATGCATATATATACACACCCCTCTGGGTTTTCTTCTATTTTCTTTCTAGTTCTTGTTTATTTCCTCTAACCTCCATGGGGAAGTGGAACAGAATTCTTCCACCGTAAGCCATGCGTGTTGTAAGAGGTGACTAAAATGCCAGGAGCAAGGGGGCTAGTAACCCCTTCTCCTGTATATATTACTAAATGTAAAAGGAGAAACTTTCGTTTTTCCTTTTGGGCCACCCCGCCTCGGTGGGATACGGCCGGTGTGTTGAAAGAAAGAAGAACACTAAAATAAATAATAATAATAGGAAAAATGAATATGGATAATAAACTTTCTAAATAATAGCCATGGAAACAGAAGAAAGTTTGCATCTTACTCCTAACAATAATAATACAGTGGACCTTTGGTTATAGGCCATAATCCGTTCCAGAAGCTCGGCCTAAAGCCGAAATAATATTTCCCATAAGAATTACAGTGGACCCTCGGGTAACGGCATTAATCCGTTCAAGAGAGTTTGCCTTTAACCGATTTTGTCTTCAGCCGAATTAATTTTCCCCATAAGAAATAATGGAAATTCACTTAGTCCGTTTCAGACAGCCAAAAGTATTAACAAAAAATATTTCTTTTAAAGATTAAATATAGATATATAGTGAGGAACTTTTAAATGTCGGCGAAGAAAGGGAGGCGGTAATTTCATGCACTGGCCAGGGAGGTATACCATCTTTTAGGAGTGAAGAAGAGCAGAATGTAAGTGTGGTGGAGGTACGTGAGGCATTACGTAGAATGAAAGGGGGTAAAGCAGCTGGAACTGATGGGATCATGACAGAAATGTTAAAGGCAGGGGGGATATAGTGTTGGAGTGGTTGGTACTTTTGTTTAATAAATGTATGAAAGAGGGGAAGGTACCTAGGGATTGGCGGAGAGCATGTATAGTCCCTTTATATAAAGGGAAAGGGGACAAAAAAGATTGTAAAAATTCTAGAGGAATAAGTTTACTGAGTATACCAGGAAAAGTGTACGGTAGGGTTATAATTGAAAGAATTAGAGGTAAGACAGAATGTAGGATTGCGGATGAGCAAGGAGGTTTCAGAGTGGGTAGGGGATGTGTAGATCAAGTGTTTACATTGAAGCATATATGTGAACAGTATTTAGATAAAGGTAGGGAAGTTTTTATTGCATTTATGGATTTAGAAAAGGCATATGATAGGGTGGATAGAGGAGCAATGTGGTAGATGTTGCAAGTACAGTGGACCCACGGTTAACAATATTTTTTCACTCCAGAAGTATGTTCAGGTGCCAGTACTGAACGAATTTGTTCCCATAAGGAATATTGTGAAGTAGATTAGTCCATTTCAGACCCCCAAACATACACGTACAAACGCACTTACATAAATACACTTACATAATTGGTCGCATTCGGAGGTGATCGTTATGCGGGGGTCCACTGTATATGGAATAGGTGGTAAGTTACTAAATGCTGTAAAGTTTTTTTATGAGGATAGTGAGGCTCAGGTTGGGGTGTGTAGAAGAGAGGGAGAATACTTCCCAGTAAAATTAGGTCTTAGACAGGGATGTGTAATGTCACCATGGTTGTTTAATATATTTATAGATGGGGTTGTAAAAGAAGTAAATGCTAGGGTGTT